AGCCCCAATAGTTCCTACTTCATCCATCCGCCTAGTGGGGAAGAAAGGCAATTTGATTCATACACGTGGGGCTCTGGAATGAGGCTGGAAATTAGCTCAATCACTAGATACTGTGTACAGGTAATCTCATCAGGCTTTGCCCTGAAGTGCAATACAAACTTAAGAATCTCTGTAAACACACACACATGCAACCACACACACCTCTGAAAAGATTTTCACCACCTGCACCCTGATCAGTAATTTCTTCTTACCATCAATGTTATTGTGGCCACTTATCATAACAGACTAATACACAAACACACACACACACGCACGCACGCACGCACATATATTTCTAGATTCAGCTGTTTTACCAATAGTCCCTCAAAATCTGATTAAATGTTGAAAGAAATCCAAAGTCAGAACTGGTCTTATTAGGCTCAGAATCTTGCATGTTGATGTATATCATAACCTGAATTCTTAGTTAAGAACTAAAATATTGCATGTCACTCTTACTATGAGTTAGGCACTATGCCAAGAGTGTATTATTTCATTTGATTCTCATTTTCATTGACAATTTTTTGAGTAACATACTTTTATTATCCACATTTCACAGATGAAGCAACTAAGATTTAGCAAAGGTAAAGCCCTCACCTCGCTCACAGACCTAGCGCATGAAGAGTTGGGTCTGAAGGAGTCATGTGCAGCCACTTGGTTTCCCATTACATTTCTCAGGGACTCTCCAGTATTTTTATGAGCAACATTACATAATGTATTCACAGATATAAAAGTGATAGCACTTTAAGAAACTTACAAGAGAATACAATCCACCAGACAGTGTATGACAAAGATGATCATCAAATTCACTTGACTGGTTCTATAGCTCTGTCAAGCGACTATGCAGTCTTCCCAATATCTTGTGACTACTCACAAGGTATCTTAACTTTCGCACTTGCCTCACAACACCTAGCACATCACTAAGTTTATCAAATTATCCAAGTCTGGCTTTACTTCTGAAAAGATCTCTATAATCCCCTCAAGCCAAAGTGAGTCTTTTCCACTATTATCTACGGCAATTTTTACACATCTGCTTTTAAGGTTTACCTGTCACAACGCAAAGTAGTGAATTATGTGTTTGTGTTTTAGATCAGTTGTCCACAAGGCTACCTTACCGAACGGTGAAGTCCTCTGCCTGAAAGTACTATTGTTAATAATGTTCTTCATTCAAAAATTAATGTATGCTCTTTCACTTATGTGATGTTAAAACTATTTATATAAAATAATACTTAAATACCTGTACATTAACAATTCCCAAGCTTTTCCCAAATGCCGCACATGTGAGGCTCAAATTCTGTGACAACGACTATTACAGGGAACTAGCGAAGCACACTGGGGCAAAGGTACGTAAGTTTTTAAAAAGCTGAGTGATACTTACATGGCCCCTTCCACTGAGACTAACCTACCAAAGAGCAGACACTCACAAAAGTTTTTACTTGGATAAATGGATGTTAGCGCATTTGAAAATTTCTCCATATTGCTCATCTCTTCAAGGAAGGCCTAAATCTCTTAATATAAAAAAGACTTATGAGAATGAAAGCTAGAATAATGCTTAAGTCATCTAACAACTTAATTAATAATAAACCAGGATAAATAGGGACCCCAAAAATTAATTTTGTCTTTTTTAGGCTGAACAAAGAATCAGATATCATAACTCTAGATTCCTGGTCATAGAACCATATGGATAAGTAGTGAGAAATAAGAAATTTTAAATGTATTTTTGTAAACTGTGAACCAAAACTTTCTTGGTTTAATTTGGCTTCTACATATGTCTATATATCTTTACACATGGAAAATATTTGTGGATTGAATCTCACAGAGGAAGTTTCTTTAAAAAATTAAGCACACTCTATATAGTAATAATTCTATAATAATGCTACTGAAATCAGTCAAATAAATTTTGTAAGTTCATATATCTGTATAATCTGCATGAATATCATGATATTTAATATATATTAAGTGTATTTACAATAATCACATGCATTTATATATAAATTTTGTTTACAAAATTTTCACTATGCATTCTCTAACATTCCAAAATTCAAAATATTCTGTACTGACAGCATAATATACAAAAATAAATTAAACTTGCCTTTTAAAGGAATACGCTGAGACATAAAAGAACACAGAAAGATCTCAAACATCAGGATCAGACTCCTACAAGTTAAAAAATCTAGAATGACATAATACCAGAAGTTCAATTAAAAGTGCACACACACACTTCACAAGAATGCTCACAGCATCATTCTTTGGATTGCCAAAGCTGGGAACAACCCAAATGAACATCAACAGTAAAACAGATTAAAAAATTGCGGTATATGTCTGAAGAATAGAATGCACACTCATACAAGAGAATATTATAGTGCAATAAAAATAAGCCATGTACAACAACATGAATAAATTTCACAAATGGGATGTGTAAGACAGGAAAGAATGCATATTTTTATATACATGAATGTTGAATTTTAATGCATGTAAAGTTCAAAAACAAGCAAAACTATCCTCAAGTGTGAACAGTCAAGAAAGTGATTAATTCCTGGAAGAAGGAAGGGAACGAAGAATAGGAAGGGACCCTAGGGAACTCGTAGGGTACCAGTGATGTGTCTCTGACACAGGAGATAGTCACACAAGAGTGTTTATTTTGTAGTAACTCCTTGAGCTACAGACATATATTCTGTGCATTTTTTTGCTAAAAAGTTAGAGAGTGAGAGTATGTGTGCATGATGGGTGTGTGTGATGTTTTTCAGTGACATAGCAGTTGCTCTGCAGGCACCATGGAGTAACAAATTGAGAAGAAATCTTTCAGCTGCTGTTTTTTTTGGTTTTTTGTTTTGTTTTTTTTTGCTGGGCAAACCAAGCTCTCCAATGGAGCAGAATGCTGTCTTCATTCCTCAGGCCACACAGAGCCCGGATGCGCCAAAGTAGGCAACGGGGTGGTAGGAGGAAGAAGAGAAATGAGAGAAGAAAGTAAAGAGTTCTGGACAAAAGAGATTTAAAAGGGTAAAAGGATTAAAAAGAGATCGGAGATCGGAGGCAAAAACCAGAACAAAAAGCAACAGATACCCCCTGAAGGGAAAGATAGTAGGAGGAAACCAGAGAGGCGAGCTCTTTGATTCTGCTGCGGGCCGTGGTGGTGCTGGGCAGCGAAGCACAGACACGTATCTGTAGTTATTAAATGTCTCATTAGGATGCACTACATCAATTAGACCACAGAGACACACTAAGTCAAGAGGATTAATATGCTGTTGTTGGTACTATTAGGCACCAGCCATTTGCTTCATGGCTCACCTAATTCTTCTCTCATTTAGTCCTCACTAAAGCCAGCAAGGAATCTATGAGCCCTACATTTACGAAGGAGAAAACGGGAACTAAAAAAGGAGATGAAGTAACCTGTTAACCTTAGAAGACTGGATGGAATCAATGAAAAACAGTAAAAAAAAAAAAAGGAAAACCAATACCGTGACTTTTTCAGACAGCTGACACATCTAAAATCCTGAATATTTCAATAAGGCTGAATAAAAGCTGGGTTTAAATGATCTCTGTGTGTTTAAATGAAGTGTGGCAGATTCTGCCTTCATATGAATCAGTTGCCTTCAATCTATGTAATGAAATATTCCACCTCACAAATCAAATATTGATGGCTGTTCCTCATCTAGCATAAAAAAGATAAGTTAATAGGTAAAATCCTATCTGTTTTAAACTTTCCAGCTGGTTAATATTTTCTGAAGACTTTGGCTTCTCTTACCATGTGGCTGCTAAAAAAGAGTGAACAAGCAGCACACAGACATTAACAGAAAAAATGAAAATATTATTTCTTATCATTGTTTCATGTGGCATTTCACGTTTGCTTTGTAGGTTCAAGCATACATATAATACAATAACACGTTATCCTACAGAAAGTTCTATGATTTTGATGAAATTTTTTTACTGTCTGATAAGATAACACTAATAGTCCTGTGGATTCCTATCATAAGCAATTCAATATAATCCTGGAAGTTAATCATTATATTATAAATTAATATGTTCATTTATACATCAATCTACTAAAGTATATGTGAATATATATTTATTTAAAATTGGTCTCTTCTCAAAAGCTTAATATTCTATGAAGCAGAAGTTGACACATTTAATTCTCAATAAAGTTACTGTTTACTATTCCATGAATGTGGAGTAGCTGTTCCATGAATGGCTTAAAAATCCACTCTTGTTCACCGGTTGGAAAATAAAGTGCCAAAGTAACATCAGATATCATATATACATTCTGCTTATGGGAAAAGGCACTTCATAATAAAATTTCTAATCAATTAGTTCATTCATATAGTATATGTTTATTGAGCATATATGTTTAAATAATATGGCTGAATACAAATTAGAAATTTTAAGAGAAATTTTGCTTTCTCAGAAACTAGCTCCTTCTGTCAAAGAAATAAGAATCACAGTAAATATCTCAGTAACAATACAGGAAGAGATAGGATTTCATACCAAAATCATTGGTGCAAACAATATGTGCACTAAATCATTAGTGTTCAATGCCCTCGAAGGCAAAAAGCAAGTCCTCAATGTCTGCTATTATTTTTTAAGGAGTATTATTATCCCCACTATTTCTTTCCCTCATAATAGAACAACGTGGTCAACAGCACTGGAAATTCTTAAGGAGATGATAGTGGAGATGATCCTGAGGGGGAAATAAAAAATTAAAAATAAAAAAAACTTTAAGAAAGAAGAAAACAGCCACGCAGCAAACAGGAGTCAGAAAAAGGAAGGGCTGCTCTCCAGCGTAAACATGTCAGGGGACAGTGGAAACCCTGAGGGCGCGGGAAGGCGAGTTGTGTAAAGGGAGTCAAACAAATGTAATGAAAGGAAACTAGATGTTTGGTGGTGAGCACACAATAGAGTCTATGAGTACGGAATTATAATACTGTGCACCCGAAGTTCATTGAATGTTAGTAACCAGCCATACATACCTACATCCATCAATAACTATCTGGGTTATTAGAATATGTGTTCCAAAGGGTATAAGTTAGAACCTCGAATCCCAGTTGTTGAGGCTGGAGCACTTGTAGAAGCACGAACCCACTGGAAGTTCCTAATAGAAGAAATTAGGAAAACTAAGCTAGCGGAGGCACAAAGTACACACGGAGGAAAGGTTGAACATGAAGAGATGTCATATATCTCTCACAAAATCAAGTATGTTTCCACTAGGTCATAAATGAAGAAGGATTTTTTTTAAACCTCAGAATTAGCCCAGAGGAAAGGATGGGGTTACTGACATATATTTGTGAAACATTAATGATACTGGATTACTTAAGCATGTGTGTGTGACTATATCTTCAATAGTTTAAACTGGAGTTATATCTATTAATGTTCTATTTTTCTGCTTCGGTATTTATATCCCAGCCTGGATAATGTTCTCCTTTGGCCATTCATGTTGATAGTCTCATGACCAAGTAAAGTACCTATATATAAGTAGGTGGTGTTGAGCAAATATTTATGGAGCACACTTATTGAAGTTGTTATTGAAATCCAGCAGTTAATGAAGGTTACTGAAAAGACAAAAATAGACTTAATCAACTGACTAACTTAGCTACTTGATACCCATTTGTTTGTGTCTGAAGTGCCTGCCCATACTTGGTGTTTTATCTTGGCCCTGTTGATCCTAATCCATTCCAATGCTTCAGTTTTTAGACCTGCAGCCTTTTATGAAGATTTCCAAAGTAACATCAAATGATTCCAGATCTTTCTTGTCCCAATGGGAGTTCACTCAGAATGTGGTAGGAAACTCAATAATAATCCAACTAGTACATTCGGATCCATGTAAATCAGTAGTTAAAATATTGGCCCAAAAGGGTGATGGGATTAAGAAGTACAAAAGGGTAGTTACAGATTAGTCCCAGGAATGTAAATACAGCATAGAGAATATAGTCAATAATATCATAAAAACTATGTATGGGGCCAAGTAGGTACTTGAAATACGGGAGGGGGGGTACTTTGTAAAGTATGTTTGTCTCAACACTATGCTGTACACCTGAATCTAATATACAGAGTAATACCGAATATAAACTGTAACTGAAAATTTGGTTTACAAAGTCACAATTCAAACAAAGAGAGAGAGAGAGAGAGAAAGAGAAACACAGATAATCTAGCTCACTTTAATTTTAAAAACTACCATTCAACTAATGGAAGTGAAGACCGGTCACATATATTTTAACTGGGATCAAGGGTATTAAGTTTTCTCAAATAACAAAACAAATAAAGTAAAATAAAACAGTCTCCAGGAAGACTGCAACACAACATTCCTCTTTATTTCAGGCCAGATCTCTACGGAGGAGGACTTGGCGAACCTCAGATTTAGGTGCTAAATGTTCCTCTAAGATTCCATCTTAAAGAACTACTTCCTGGTAACTACTCAAGTCTCCCAATTCCTCTCCATCCAGATGGTATTTGTTTTTCAAGTAGGGGCACTCCAAAATCAGGTCATTTTTAGGCAAAAAAAACACAGTTCTCTCTGTGCCCATTCAGAGCAATCACCCTAATACTCCACAGCGGAGAACCTGGAGATAAGAACACAAAGACAAGAACAAGCTGACCACTGGTTAAGGCACCTTTAGGCACAAGCCAACTGCATTTTTAGCCCCAAAATCTGGCACTGTTTTCAAGTTTGAGATAATAGGCCTTACAAAAAAGTCGTGGGCAGAGATCTCCTTGTACTTCCAAAAGCAACTCCTGGTGAAACTGCCTCTTTTTTTTTTCTTTTCCCTAGGTTAGGCAGAATACACAAACACAGACGTGGACACACTTACAGTTACACACACACTCATAGGGCGGCAGAAGCATATCAACTAACAGCAAGCGCGGTTGTGATAATGCTTTTATCCTCTTTTTTGAAATTATCTATATTGTCTTAGCTCCTATAATAAAAAGTATAACCTGTCTACTGTACAAAGTTACTTTTTTTAGAAGGAATGAAGAGAGAAGAGGCTGCACATTCAATACACAGCACAGTAGACGTTGGAATAGCCTGTAAAGGCAGCAGTGAATGTAATGGTCGGTTTACCCCCACCCTTCCCAGCTGACTAGGAGCCTGGGCAGCAGCACCCAGAGTGAGCGCTCTGGCTACGTTGAATGAAGAGCGACATCAAGCTGCCAGCATCGATTCGGGGCAGAGGTACTTACTTCTTGAACAAATGAACTCATAGTATTACATGCTTTTTAAAAAGAAGGCAGCCAACCATTTTAGGGTAGGGGAATAAGTGAAGTTGACTATATTTCACTTTTTTAAGCCACCGAAATTGTTGCTTTAAATTAATGTGTCTCTTGAACAGTTGAAGTGCAGTATAAATTAAACAGCAGCAGTGGAAAGTCTGATGTCTATGTCATTTCATGAGAAAAGCACTGATACAAAGATACCGTGTCTTTTAACAAACTAGGAGACCTTAACTTCTGAAAGCGAGGATACTCAGACCTCCTCAGTTCCACAGTCTGTTACCAAGGAATGTCATTAGCAAAGATTGGAAAATATGATTTACACATAAGCATCTCTGTATCTTATTTAATTATCAGTCATTGCTTTCAGAGAAAAAGTTCTCCTTTATAAAAGGCATTTATAAAAATTCTTCATGATAAATTCTTAATTTTATGTGTATCCCTCTCCTAATATCCAACTATGTGTGTTAATTAGAAATAGGCTCATTAGTGGAATGATACAACAATAGTCTCCGAATTTGAAAAAGTCCTGTTTTTTCATGATAGAGAATATACATGTTTTTCTAAATCACTAAAGAAAACAGACCCTCTCTTCACTCTGCAGATCCTCCCCGGTCCCTGCCTGTAACACTCTTCACAACAGCAAAATGAACACCCATTTCTAAGCTTTAAAGCCATCAAGCCTACCACTGAAAATTAAAACCACCAGTTTGTAAGGAAATTCACAGCAGTGAGGAAATCCTAGTGCCAACATGAATTTACATAAGAGACCAAGATTCTGGGAAAGGCCATGGAAATGAATTGTGGGTAACAAAGTTATCATATCAAAGACTGTCCACAATACATGTTCCAGAGATCTGAAGGCAGAGACAACTTTACTTCATCTTCTTGACTCCTAAGGTGCCCACAAATGCTGAAGGATACAGCCTCTGCTCAGATTGGGGTTGGCTCCCAGTGAAAGATACACTGATGTACTGAATACTTGAGGTTCGACCGGTAACTCTTTCATTTATTCCTGCCCTCCCTTAATTAGTAGGTAACCCTCTGAGCTTCAGAGACTGACAATGAGACTTATTTATTCATCCAGGTACTTAGACTTGGCCAGTCTTGGGCAATTTAACTATTTAACTTGACTCAATATTACTGCTTAACTGGGGGGGGGGGGCGGCGCAGGGCGCAGTGGGGAACAGTCTGGATTCATTTGCAGCAAGTTTTCTGTCTAACTTAAAAATATTTTTGAAGAAATATGGTAAAGTGATTCTCCTTCTGGAACCAGATCCACTGACACTGTCACATTAACTCACAGCTTGTTAAATACTGTGCAATCTTTCTATAACATTCTTTGTTATGAGACTAGAATCAGCATATGGGAATTGCTCTTTTCCTGCTAAACTGAAGTCATTACTAACTACTCATCTGTGGCATGTACTCTTTCTTGCAACCAGGGATTTTAGCTTCACAAAATTTAGAAACTGCCACATTGTTTCTTGGCACGGCTTTCCAAAGTGACATCATTCAAATTTTGGAAAACTCTGTTATAGCAAATACTGGAGGGGGTTCTGGGTTAAGGATTGCTCAGAAGGAGCATTGGGGTCTCTGTAGAGACCAACCTCAGCTCACCCTCTCAGGCTGTACCTTCACATGCCTTTCATTAGAGGCACGTGGAATCACAATGAGCTCACAGATGCATTTCAAAATGGGTTATCAAATTACCAGAATATGGAAATGACTTCCAGTCACTGGAAAATCTGTATTGAAACACCACTGGGATGGGGAGAGGTAAAAGCTCCCTTTTTGCTTTACTTGATTTCCAAAGTCAAGGATTATAATTTTAAGTAGGCATACTTATTATATCAAATACTATATGCGTAAACCATAATGCAATATAAATACAAATACAAGTATAGATATAAACCTCCTGACTCGTTTACTGCAGAACATAAAATAAATGAGGAACTGTGTCTACATCATGAAGGAATTTTCAAAGAATCACATCATTCAGACTCTCTGAAAGTCTCATTTTGGAAATGGGGTGATTTCTGGGACTTCCTCTATTGTTTGAATACTTAACATAACAAAAAGAGAAATTCTAGGTTTCTAATCAATACACAGTGAGCCCTTAATTCCAAAACTCGTGAATTTTTTATTCCAACTACAATTCGACAGGAGTCTTTGCCAACAAAAACTTAGTATTAGTACTCTCAAGAACACTTCTTTTCTATCAAATCAAAAATAATTCCAGTGGTTCACTGTAATTTCTCCTAAACATTATTAAATGACATCTTGGGTGTCACTGTTAAGATAATAGTTGAGCTTCTAAACTTAAAAAAAAAACCTTCATTAACTTTAATCATTTTGCTACTTCTTTAACAGACACATTTTGTAAATAAATATTTTTATCTCCACTGTTAAAAGTATGCGTACTTCCTGGAAAGGAAAAAAAAATAATTCACACACACCAAACCTGAAAATTTAAGACATGTGGTCTCAAATGATGCCTTGGAATCACAGCACCATACAGCACAGCCTAGAGAGACTATGAAACCATATGACTATTTAGTATTCTCCTGGGGAAAAACTGGGTGACCTCAGGAGTAACAAATCATATTTATTCACAGAGTGCTTATAGTCATGTGGCACATATCCCACATATGAAAAAAAGACAAATTCTGAAATGCCCAGAGAGAATAACTACATATTATCTGTGAGATACTACCAAGGAAAGGACCTGATGTATTCCGACAAAGTTACCCCAGCCTCTCGACAAATAACACAATGATTAATTCCGCAGGAAAATTCTGTAAGACTCATTTGGGAGAAGAGGAAGAAATTTCATGAAATAAATACAAAAAGTAAGCTGTTCACTGGAAATCTCTGGCTTTC